TAAATTAGTGAAGTTGGTTGATACACCCCACAACAGGACAAGGAGAAAGGGCAGCAGTGAGGCAGCCTCCACTACCTGTGTTTGACATGGGCCAAGTGCAAAAGTAGATTACCCAGGACCATCTTGAAAGGACCTACTCAGTAGGGCCATCTGCCAGAGTGAGGAGACCTATAATTAAAGGCTGGAATGATGGACTTCAGGAAGCATTCACTGAACAGGGATTGTAAGGTCCACCAGCGGAGCTGCCAAAGAACCCACAAATGCTTTCAACAAGAGAGAATCAGCACATATACTTTCAATCCAGTAACCATCATAGCACTCTGTTTTACTTTCTACCTAGGACATAACACAGTCTGTGATTTTATTATTTCACCTGTTTAAATCTCATCTCCCTCCACAAAGTTTCAGGGACCTCATCAATCTTGTCCAGTTATAGTCCCAACTCCTACAATAGCAGCTTGCACAAAGGGCAACCACTCAATAAATATTTGTTGGGTGATGAGTGCTAGAATCTGTCCTTCCACAATCTTCTGCTGCCCTAAATGTCCATGTCCTACACTATGTGACTATTCACTTGAGCCATTGCTGACTGCATTAGGGTGACTGTGAAAGGGCTGTCACAGATTAACCAGTGACCTAGGGCATATAGGGACTGGCCTGAAATGACTAGCTGGACCAATACAATTCCTCCCTCAGGAACTGGGGAATTGAGACCCTGAGCCAGTTAGCCAAGGGAATGGAAATCAAAATCTGTCACTTGGAACCAACTAGAGCCAAGTTGGTAGAGAGAAAACTCAGTAGATGAGTGGAGAGAAGCAGGAATATCATGGAAGGAAATCCAAATACCTCCATAGAAGGCCACCTCAGTTCCTAACAACTTTCTACTTTCCAGTTCTTCTCCCATGAGGTCCACCCACACCATATTCCCCATTCTTGAAATACTGTGACATTTCCTTTCCAAATATCTTCCAATCCTTATTATTATGTGAAGAAGAAAGGTCCAGTGAGGTGTCATTATGTTTTTAATGGCTCTCTATTAAAGATATTCCTTTATCTTTCTTTTTAACAAAGTGACAGGAGGCAACAGTATCTAGATGGAGTTTAGATTTCCTTGTTTTTGTTTTTATGGATACATTCTAGTTATGGCCAATAATACTACTGGTTTTCCATTGAAGGTAGAGACATAAAAGTACAACGAAAAACAAAGTGGGTCAATTTAAATAACTTTTTCCATGTGGACATGGAAAAAGTCAGGAATATGTACAATAAGCAAATGACTATTTGGGCTAGAAAACCAAATCCTGATTTTAATACCACTGTGTAGACAGCCATCTACCTTTCCTTATCATTCTTTTTATTCCAGAATCACATCTCTAATTGGAAGACCCAGTTAGTCCTTTAGGTTCCTGCCCTAGATTTATAATCTTTAAAGATGACTTTCAAGTTACTCCTGGCAAAGGCACTACATGCTGTAGAAGAAGAGTACGGAATTTGAAGTCGGACAAACATGGAGCACAAATCTTTACTACCAACTAATTGTCGAATTACTTAAACTCTCTGAGTTCGGTCATCATTAAAATTATTTTAAAAATCTACTTCACTTTATGGTTGCACAACAATGTGAATGTGCTTAATATCACAGAACTGTGCACTTTAAAATGGTTAAAATTGTAAATTTTATTATGTATGCTTTACCGCAATAAAAAAATCTACTTCACAGGAGCATTTGAAGATTATATTTTCAAAGACAGTGGAACACTTCACCACTATGACTGACACATATAAGTGCTCATTAAATGGCTACCATTAAAATAATCATCAAGTTGCTGAATAAATTAGCTGTGGCACACACTATACCCCTTCCTCAGAGAGCCTACTTGGAGGGCTAAACAAATCTAATTGGTGATTTTTATAGCAATAGAGGGGCAAACAACTGTCAGCTCTGTTTCCCATCTTAGACTTCCTCACCTTTGGTCTGGCCTCTTTTCCCTCTCTGTCAAGCTTCTTTCTGTCTCAAGACAACTCCCAAACACACTACAAAGCCCTAGTATCCCCTCATGCTACCTATAGTCCAAAGCTATTTCTTTCCTCCCTATACTTGTTAATTTTTCACTGAGCTTTCTTTGTATCCCATAGTTGAGCAAATAGGGAAATGCTACAATGTACTATCCTGCTAATACGAGAGTATATACTCCTCCTCTTTCTTCTGTGCCTATACTCTGTGCAGCAGACAGGAAGCTAAGGTTAAGAATTCTAAGCTAGTACTGATCCCTCAACTCTACACATTCCCTGCCACTGGAGCTATAGAGAGAGAAAGAGAGAGGAAAAAAAAAAAAAAAGTACACAAAGTATGTCATTATTATCTTTTCACCCCTCTTTGGAAATCCTTCTCTCTCACACTGCCACCTCTCCCCAGACCTCCAATACCTTGCTGTATTTGTGTTTTATTATGGTTCTCCTTCAGTGAAAGTCTGTCAGTGATAAACTGTCTTTGACTGAAATGTCTTTATTTTACTCTCATTCTTAATTGATCGTTCCAGTGGGTACAAAGTTCCTACACTGACACTTATTTGTACTCAGCATTTCAAAGATATTAAAGATGACTCTTCTCAGTCTAATTGAAGTTCCTTCATAGGTAATCTGTCTTTTCTCTTTGGTTAATTTTAGTATCTCTTCTGTCCTAGGCTCTCTACAGGTTCACTACAAAGTATTTACACTCTGATGAAGACTTTCTGAGTCTGAGGATTCATGCCTTACATGAATCCTGGAAATTTCTCAACCATTATCTCTTCACATACTGCCTCCTCTACCTCTCTTCTCTCTGGAAATCTTTTTAGACATAAGTTAGATCTACATTGTCCAACACAGTAGTCACTAGCAACATGTGGCTAGTGAGCACTTGAAATGTGGCTAGTCCAATCTGAGCTGTGGTACAAATGCAAACTATCAGTACACACTGGATTTTATTAAAGACAGTATGGAAAAAAAGTAAAGTATCTCATTCACAATTTTTTTTTTTTTTTTTTTTTTTTTTTGGCGGTACGCAGGCCTCTCACTGCTGTGGCCTCTCCCGTTGCGGAGCACAGGCTCCAGATGCGCAGGCTCAGCGGCCATGGCTCACGGGCCCAGCCGCTCCGTGGCATGTGGGATCTTCCCGGACCGGGGCACGAACCCGTGTCCCCTGCATTGGCAGGCAGACTCTCAACCACTGCGCCACCAGGGAAGCCCTCATTCACAATTTTTATACTGATTATATGTCAAAATGATCATATTTCAAATTAATCTCACCCGTTTCTTTTTACTTTCTTTAATGTTGGTACTATGAATTTTAAAACTATATACTTATCTCACATTATATTTCTATTGGACAGTGCTGTTAGACGATCTGCTTTTCGCCATATTTCTTATCTATTCCATCTCCTCATCTCTCTGTGCTACATTCTAGGTAATTTGTAGAAATTATTTAATAGTTCACTGATTATATCATCAGCTATTTAGTCCATCCGCTGAACTTTAATTGTAATGAAATTTGAAATATATATTTCCATTTCTACTAGATTTATTTGGTCCTTTTTTCAAAGTATTGTATTATTATTCTTTGGGTTCCTTCTTTCATGTTCTTAATCATTTAAACCAGTCTATAATCTGTATCTGACAATTATTTGATGTTCTTGGGGATCTAACCCTACAGGTTGTTGTGTCTGCTGACTCTCCCTCCTGGAGGATTGTCTCCTCATGTGTTTGTAATTTTGGATTGCGAGCTCATCTTCAGCAGGGTTTTATCTTCCTTATTCCTAGGAGACCTGGGTTGGGTTTGCTTCTGCCAAACCGTCCTGATATCACTGTCCCATGACAGTAATTTATGTTAGTTTACAGACTTTGGGGAATTCCTACACTATACAGATAATAACAGACATGAAGAACAAAGGCATCTACCAAAAAGATAACTGATGTCCCTGAGGTAAGGAACCTAACAAATAAAATGGGAAAATCATTCAAAGAAATAATTTTTGAAAATTTCTCTTTTACAAATGAAGAAAGTAGTTACAGATGGAACAAACCATGTTCCAAGAAGGAAAAACAAAAAAAGACACAGAATGATGACACCGATCTCTACCCCAGTTGAGTTGCTAAACATCAAAGAAGTCTTTGAACAACCAGACAGACAAAGCAAGTCGACTAAAAGGGGTGAAGTGGGTTGAGAATCAGTCTTATCTCAGATGTCTCTAAGGCAAGATTCAATGCCAGAAAACAGTGAAATATTGCCACAAGTTTGAGAAAGAGAGAAAAACGTGGCCCAAGAATATTGTTAAATATAAGAGAAACAGACAGATATTCTCAACCTGAAAAATATCAGGGAATACAGGACAAAGTGCTTTTCTAGGAAAAAAAATATTGACAAAAATCCATGGATTAGGGACTTCCCTGGTGGCACAATGGTTAAGAATCCACCTGCCAATGCAGGGGACACAGGTTCGAGCACTGGTCCGGGAGGATCCCACATGCCGCAGAGCAACTAAGCCCGTGCGCCACAACTACCGAACTTGTGCTCTAGAGCCCATGAGCGACACCTGCTGAAGCCCGCGCACCTAGAGCCCGTGCTCCGCAACAAGAGAAGCCACCGCAGTGAGAAGCCTGTGCACCACAACAAAGAGTAGCCCCCGCTTGATGCAACTAGAGAAAGCCCATGTGCAGCAACAAAGACCCAACCCAACCAAATAAATAAATATTTTTAAAAAGTAGTGGTTTTAAAAAAATTCTATGGATTAAAACAATGAACTCAATAATGGGAAGGCACTGCTGACAGTAAGCAGTGATTCCATTTAAATATAGAACTAAGACTGAACAGGACAAAAAGTAAATGTCATAAACCTTGACAAATAATAACATCAAAAACGGGTGGGGAGAGAAGACAGAAAGTTTATCAGTATTAACTTCAATTTCTTTCTCTATCCATAGTAAGATGTTAAGTATCCAAAAATAAAACATGTGGTAAAATATACAATGATTTCAATTTTTTAATGTTTTTAATGTCCTTTTTCTTAACTTTGAAGTGTCTGGGAAATAATAGCTCTTCCAATGAAGAAATATTTACTGAAGTTCAACCATTTCTTGAATTTTACTTTCTTTTTGCTGTTGTTGTTAATTTCTGAGGAAAAAAGTAGAGAAAAGTAGTAGGAATTATAAAACAAACTCTTACATTCCTACCACTCAGAATTAATAATTATAAATGTGTCGAATGTGATGCATTGTTTTAGGGAATAAAACATTAAAGAGAGATAGCTAATGTCCCTTTTAAGCTCCATTCTTAGTCCCAACTCTCCTATGCAGAGCAAAAACTTTTCCATTCAGTTTACGTAGATAAACAGACAGATAGATATCAGTAACTGATATATAGTATTGCCTTGTGCAAACAATCATTTTTTATTTATATAATGGTAGCATATCAAACATATTATTCTGCATCTTGCTTTTTTCATTCATTGTTCAATGAGCTGCATATAAGAGCTAGTTTATTCCTATTAACAGCATAAATTCCACTGTGTGACTATTCCACATTTATTCATGCATTCCACTATTAATGAACACTTAGACTGTTACCCTTGGATTTATTTTTTGCTGTTACAAACAATGCTCCCATGAACATCCTTGCACAAGTGTGAAAGTTTCTCAGTATACCTAGAAGTGTAATCATTGGATTATAAAAATAGGCACATTTTCAATTTTATTAGATACTGTCAAATTGCTCTTCCAAATGACCAGGTGTCAATACACCCAACCCTCAAAAAAAAGGAAAAAAAAAATTTTTTTAAGAAAAATAAAATACACCCAACCCTTTCTCAAGTGGTGTGACAGAATACCATTTTCTCCATATCTTTGACAGTACTTGGTATTTTGGGCCATCTAAGTGAAATAGTATCTTGTTGTTTTGTATTTGCCTAATAGGAATAGGGTTGAGATTATTTGCATGGCAGATGCAGTCTTCCTTTTTAAAACTGAAATTTCCTCTTAAAAAATTTTTCCTCTCTATATAACACTTTGGTATTAAATTGTTACTCTAGATGACTTTTGGCTACTATTTGCCTGCTGTATCTTTTTCTATTTAATATTTAGGTTTTTTATGTTGTTTTACATGTGTCTCCTGTAACTATCATATGGCTAGATTTTGGTGTGTGTAATTTTAATCCAAGCTGAGCTTTTTTAAAAGTAGTGTATTTACTGCGGTAACCTACATGGGAGGGAAGTCCAAAAGGGAGGGGATATCTATCTGTATGTGTATGGCTGATTCATTTTGTTGTGCAGTGAAGGCTAAGATAACATTGTAAAGCAACTATACTACAATAAAAATTAATTTTTAAAAAGTAGTGCATTTAACCCATTTTTTATGGTAATTTATAAAATAAATTTTGAGCATTCTACTTAATGTATTTTCTCCTTTTTATCTCCCCATTGCCATATTCCTGACTTCCACTGATCATTTCTTCACTCAGTTTTTTTCTACTCTCTTTTGTTTGTTTTTGGTTTTTGGCCACACCACGTGGAGTGCAGGATCTTAGTTCCCTGACCAGGGATGGAACCCATGTCCCCTGCAGTGGAAGGGCGGAGTCTTAACCACTGGACCACCAGGGAATTCCCCCTCTACTCAACTTTTACTCTTCTATGTGGCTACCTTTAAATTGTTACACATATAAACATTATTTTTCTAATAATATCTAGAGGTAATCAATATCTGTATCTCCCCCTTGAAAAGACAGGGTTCCAAAATCCTTGGCATGTTTTCACTTCCTCTTGCTGAGTGCTTCCCTGCCCCAAAATACCATACCTACCACATTGTTATGACTGGAATTTTGGCTCATAACTACTTTAAAACTTTTAAATCCAATTAATATTTAGACAATAAGTTCTGCTCATTAATTTGTTTACTGTTTCTTCTTGTACGTCATCCTTGTTCTTGCAAAGCACATCTTCTGTCAAAGAAACCAACTTAAAAAATGACATACCTGTAGGAGTATCCTTTGTGTGCACCTAGGTTGGAGCACCCCTAGGGTAAGGCAGATGTTTCACTTCTGGATAAAACTGAACCTGGGTGTGAGGCTGCAGAAAATCTAACTAAAACAACTAAACGTAGTTATTTCAGAGGGAATTTATGCGTGGCAAATCTTCTAAGCTTCTTCTGTGCCTCTAATTATTTATATTTTCTCCTCAAATTTGTGTGATGGTTTGGCTGGAATATAATTCCTAACTGCAACATTTATTTTCCTTTCAGCACTCTAGTTTGTGAAATGAGCAGGTATAATTCTGACTTAAAAAGAAATGTGGGACTTCCCTGGTGGTGCAGTGGTTAAGAATCTGCCTGCCAATGCAGGGGACACAGGTTCGATCCCTGGTCTGGGATGATCCCACATGTTGTGGAGCAACCAAGCCCGAGCGCTGCAACTCCTGAGCCCATGCACCTAGAGCCCGTGCTCTGCAACAAGAGAAGCCACCTCAACAAGAAGCCCGCACACCGCAATGAAGAATAGCCCCCGCTCGCCACAAGTAGAGAAAGCCCGCGCGCAGCAACGAAGACCCAATGCAGCCAAAAATAAATAAAATAAATTTTTTAAAAAAGGAGAAATGCGACATGAAAAAATTTGTCTCTTGGTTGCAATCTTGTGGACCTAAAAATACTTTCTTTACGCAAGAGTTGCAACATGCTGTGACTTGCCATTCTCTATGCCAATAAGAAATACAAAGATAAAATATTTACAATCCATCCAGCTAAAGAAAGAGCCTTGATCAAGGAGAGTAAAAGGTCTCAAGTTAAATTTGACATGTTCTGTTTTCTATCATAAGTTACAGCCCTTCATGCTGTGCTTTGTGGCAGAGATAATATCTCCTTGAGATATCAAATTGTTTTATGTCAAACCTTTTCTTTAACATGTGAAATAAAATCTCCTCACTCCAATGTTTGGGTTAACTCCAAAGCTCATAAAACATGTTTCAAAGAATTGCATAAAATCAAAATATCAAATGTAAGAAATATTGGTCCATAACATATGCCTGTTATTATTCAGTTAAATTGTAAATTGTCTCAATTCTTTTATGTATGCATTTTCCCTCCAATGTATAAATAATGTGTAAAACTTCTGGGCAGAGAGAGCAGTTCAGTTTTCTGGCCTCCCTGTGCTATCAAGCTTGAGTTTAAAGATACATCATGAAGTCTTCTAAAAAAAAGAACATAGCATGAAGCTCTGTTTCTCCCACATGCTCCACAGCATTCTTGTGTCAGATGTTGCTTAAGAAAAGTCACATGCCAATCTGATTCTTATTCTTTTCTCAGAAATCTGCTTTTCCTCTCTGATAATTTTAAGAGTGTCTTTTATTTTTTGATGCTCTAAAATGTCATTATTACATGACTCTGTACAGGCTTTTTCTTACTTATTCTGTCCAGCAACTATCTCCAAATCTATAAATCACAAATAAAATTCAGGTTGTTTTTCTTTAAATAAAAACAGTAAAACTACTGTAAAATGTATATAAAGGAGAAAAGTCCATGAATAGCTGAGCTAACCTTAAAAAAGAAGAGAAAATGGGGAAAAGGAGGCTTGCTCTACCAGATATTAAGACATATTGCAGGGCCATAATAGGTGGGTATCAGTGCAATAGACAAAAGGAACAAGGTAGAAACCTCTAAGAAGGACCCATTTATAATGGGAATTTGATATACAATAAAGGAGCCATCACAAATCAATGGGGAAAGATGAGATCATTTATTAGGTGGAGTTGGAAAAACTTCCCCACTACGTGGAGAAGAATAAAACTGGATTGCTACCTAACATCATCTATAAGGGTGAACTCCAGAAGAGTTAAGGAAATAAATGTGAAAGTAAAACCATAAATCCAACTGAATAAAATGTAGGATGAACTTTGTGACCTAGAGACAGGGAAGAACTTTAAACGTCAAAAGCACAAACCAATACAGAAAAACAATCGAGAATTTGATTATATCAGAATTATTTCTATCCATGAAAGATACCACATAAACAAAGTTAATAGGTGACAGAATAGAAGGAGGCATTTGCAAAGTCTAAAACAAATAGGGGATTAACATCTAAAGTATACAAGGACTCAAGGTCCACCTTTCTGTTCAGCCATTCTCAGCATTGCTTTTGTCCCCATGTGGTTGCAAGATGACCACTACAGCTCCAGATAGTGTATCCTCACACAACTGCATCCAAACACAGGAAGCAGTCGTTCCTTGTGCGTCTCTTGGTATTGTGGAGAAATACTCATAGAAGTCGCCTAGCAGAACTCCTGTCTGGTCCCACTGGTCAGGACTGGATCACACATCAATGCCCCAGTTGCAAGGGTGACTGGAAAAACAATTGGTGGGCATGTTCAGCAACTATGGTGGGAGACAGCCTGGCCAGCAGGGGAGAAGGGTTGGAGAACAGCAGTTAGAGGATTAACAAAAAAACGTTGCCATATCTGCCCTCCATTTTCTCCACTTTCTCCTGTCACTCCTATTAGATAGATGTGAGCACTTGATCTACCCCCCCAACGGCTTTCATTCTCCACCTACTTTCTTTTCCTACTGCGTTCTGAGAGAATTTCTCCATCCAGTTTTCCAGAACAGTATTCACTCTTCTGTGTATCCACTCTGCCATTCAACCCACCTATTGTTTTATTTCAAAAAGTATGTTTTTCATTGTTAAGATTTCCAATTTACTTCATTTTTGTAATGCCTGTTCATGCTCTGTGGATGCAATATACTTGCATCTCTCTGATGATATTATTCTAAAGGTCTGTTCCAATTCTATTAGCTTTGTTTCCTCAAGTGAAGTTCTTCTCTTTTTTTAATTCTATTTTGAGGTGCTACTCAAGTATACAGGGATTATTTACCCAAGATCCAGTTTTTCCACTGAGATCAGTTTTATGATATGTGAATTATATCTCAATAATGCCTTTTTTTGTGGTTTTTTGTGGGTTTTTTTAAAGAAGGAACTGATTGCTTACACTTCTGCCTCTGAGAGGATTACTCTGACTTTTCCTTGGGCCTCTGAAATTACACTCTGTACTAGCGAAGCTTGTTTGGAAACCCATCCTGTGCAAGCACTGGAGCATTACTAGCCTTACAACCATTTATAAAGGGCTTTGTGGCATCTA